TTAATAGAATGGTTTAGTTTCACTGAGAAAATATCCAAAAACATGTAACACTATTTCGATTTGCGTAGCGATCCTTTGTTTACATAGGTTGTACGGCTCCACTTGCTGTCTTCGAAGCCGACGGAGAGCAAACGATGCAGCCAGTTTGATATCTAAATATGTACTGTCATAAACCTAACTGTCGCAGTTGTGGAAGAATATATATGTAACGAAGTAAAACAATATGAAGAGTCGTGAGTCCAGTGTCTTCTTATTATGAATATGCGTGTTTGTTTACAAACAAGAGAAAAGTCCGGTCACGTGATATGCAAATTAGCCTGTGGCAGTGACGTTATCACACTCTGGCACAGCGATGACCAACATAACATCACTGCCACAGGCTGATTTGCATATCACGTGACCGGACTTTTCTATATTATATTATATTGAATGGACATTGCAAGATGTGACGAATCGTCACATTTTTCTGGCCTGTGGCAGAGGTACTATGCTGGCTTGCCGCATGGAATTCTGGGTAGGAGAGTGTGATGTTATGTTAAGTCATCGCTGTGCCCTTAGTGTGCTCGTACCACTCTCATGGCCATGTTTACGACTGAGCCTTGTCTAAGCGCAAACGGGCACAGAGATGAAACTAGTCTAGATTCACGGACTATTTCCAAGGAAAGATAACTCTAAGTTTCTAAGCATGGCTACTCCAAGGAAACAACAAGATCAAATTTGTTTAACCTGCAGGAAGAAGTCCGAAAGATTACTCAGTTTAAAAGGAAAGAAATTAACACAGGATCTAGCATTTAGGGACAGGTTGAGGCAGTTCATACGGATAGAAATCAATGACACGGACATTCAATTACTTTACATTTGCCGTTCGTGCCACAATAAGGTCGAAAGCTTTGCTGTCTTCCAAGCGACTGCAATAAGCAATGCCAAATCGGGACTAGAGCAACTACAACGGCCCAAAAGACTAATTGGAACACCGAAGGTAACCACACCTAAAAGGTTAAGCGTTGCGAGTCAACTGATTTCTTCTGAAGAGAAACTAAGAATTAGTGATGAGTCCACATCCCTGTCAGACAAATCAGACCAAAAGGAATCCAGAAGAAAATTGTTTTCGGAGGATACAACATCTTATGCTGACAAGAGAAATGATTCGTCACAGAGTGTTGACATATGTTAGCACGATCATCTCTACGCAGCAACAACACAGCCACAACATGACCCTATGAAATTTGAACGTGTATGCAAAGTGTACTGTCCAATCTGCTTCAGAACAAACTGACAGACAAAACAAGTTGTCTGCACAAAGATTTATTGAGACCAAACCAGATACAAGTGGATGGGCCTCACACATTGAACATATGTGTCAAGCACTGACTCAGATGTGTGCACCAGGAAAGAGCGTTCTCTATTCAAAGGCCCCCCACTATTTGTCTACCCCTGATGTATTTTCGGAGGCAGTGTGTGAACTGCAGAGGGTGTCCCCTTTTCTCTTTTCCATTCTGCATTCTGCACTAGGTGACAAGATAACTCTTTCCTCGAAGATTTCTACCATTGCTACCATCTATGGTATGATACTCCACTCAAACAACAATAGAGTGTCAGCTGTTCAGAGACTATTTACGACCACAGCCATCAGATATCATGCAGATAACATGGTACCTTTATTTAAATAACGTTTTGAGTTTTGTTTTATTTACAAGCTCTTTTGAAGCATGTTAAAGGAGCTTCTGTTCTTTATCTTTTGAAACAAAAAACTTGAAATTGATTTTTAGTATGTTGTTATTTTTAAATATATATATATATTTAAAATCCTAACGTATTACTATTAATCTTTAGCATTCATTCAACTTAAATTTGTTTTAATTTCTTGAAATTTATATGATGTTTCTCACTGATTTAACTTTCTAATCTATACACAATAAACACTTTTAAATTTGAACATTAAAGAGTTGAGTTGAGTTGGGTTTTACGTCACATCGGCATTATTCCAGCCATATAGTGACGAGAACAAGTCTGCATTAATATACATTGTAAGTACAAAGTGGTTTCAAAGACATACATTCATTACGTTGTCATTTTAGAACAGAGAATGTCATAGCACTAAATTGAAAAGCAGGTACATTCGTTATTGACATTACACAGTTACATTTTATGATATAGATCGACTTCCCTCAGGTAGTTTAGTATCAGATGAGCGCTCACGCTGGAGAACAGATCTTTGAGATTGGTTGCGTGATAATGCGAGTCCCTTGCAGATGTAAAATCCACACAGTCAAGCAGAATATGCTTGACGGTGAGAGCCTCATCGCAGGAGAGACATATGGGGGGTCCATCCCCATCCGTTTTTAGCAGATAGTCATGTGTAAACCGACTGTGGCCAATACGACATCATCGTAAAATTACTTCATCACTTCTTGACTGGCAACCCAAGTAAGTATAACCGATTGTTGGCTTCAATTCACGGAGTTTGTTTCTTCCTACTTGAGTGTCCCACCTTTTTTGCATCAAGTCCCGAGTATAGCTTTAAATAGTGGGTTTGAAATCACTGTACGGGATTAGCGTGGAGATAGGGGCTTTTCAAGAGCTGCTTTTGCTGCAGCATCGGCCTTAGTGTTACCTGCTATGCCGACGTGACCCGGCAACCAGCAGAGGATGATGTCATATTGGCCAGTAGAAAGGTCGTTGTACAGTTCTAATATGTCCAGGATGATTGGGTGACTTGAAGTCACGTTTAGAAGTGCTTGAAGGCAGGATAATGAATCTGTAAATACGATGAAGTTTTTGGACTGATTTTGCTGTTGAATGTAGGTCAGAGCTGAGAAGATAGCTTTGGCTTCAGCGGTGAAAATGGAACTGTTGTCGAGGATCCTAGACGAGACAGTCTTGGCTCCAATGACTGTAGCGCTGGCAACTTGGCCATCGTCCTTGGATCCGTCTGTGAAGATGGATCTGTGAGTGTTATACTTCGAACGTAACTGGTTGTATTCCTGTTGGAACACCAAGGGATTTGTTTCAGACTTTTTGAGTTTGGTGAGTGTAAGATCGACCTGTGGTTTCACCATTTGCCATGGTGGTGAGGACAGAAGTCGGTAAAGTGCAATGATGTTGAGATCAATTTTAGCTGCAGATATGTGTGGTTTGATCCTGATTCCAAGTGGTGGAACCAGGCTTGGCAGTTTAGGAAATAAGTTTTCATAGAGCGGGTTGAAAACACAGTTGTCTACCGGAGAGGTCCTAAAAGCTCCCAGGCAGAGCCTCAGTCCTTGGTGGTGGATAGAGTCTAATTTTTCTAAATTGCTTTTGCAGGCTCCACCGTAGACAATGGAGCCATAATCTAGTTTACTGCGGACTAATGATCTGTACAAGTGAAGGAGGGTGGTCTGATCCCCTCCCCACTCTGTATTTGAGACTACTTTTAGCAAGTCTAAAGCCTTCAAGGACTTTGTTTTCAAATATTTTATGTGTGGTAAGAATGTCAGGTGGCGGTCGAATATGAGTCCAAGGAATTTGGCCTGTTCTACTACCTTGATGGGAGTACCATCTAAAGTTAGGTCTGGATCCTTGTGTGGTTTGTATTTACGACAAAAGTGCATACAATTCGTTTTGCGTTTTGGATTTTGAAAACCTAGAACCATTTTCATTGGCCCATTTTTGGATTTTGTTAAAGCAGAGTTGTAGCTGCCTTTCTATTGCGTGCATGTTCTTACCACGACATGAAATATTGAAGTCATCGACGAAAAGGGACCCATCAACGCAACTGTTCAGAACGTTAGTGAGGCTGTTAATTTTGATCCTAAAAAGTGTGACAGACAGGATGCTGCCTTGGGGGGACGCCCTGATCTTGGTGGAAGTAGTCAGACAGTGTGGAACCCTCCCGAACTTGGAATTGTCTGTTATTTAGAAACCGAGGTCACTGAGGAGGTTATTGGTCTCCAAGTACCAGATTAATGGATTGTTGACAATGCGCTCCATGGTTTTGCAAACGCAGCTAGTTAGTGATATAGAAAGGTACTTTGAGAGATCAGTATGGTCACGACCGGGTTTTGGTATAGGGATGATGATGGCATTGTGCCACGAAGCGGGGAAGTGTCCGGATGTCCAGATGTCATCAAATATATTTAGGAGTGTTTCCAAGCCTATGTCAGGGAGGTGTTTCAGAAGCTGATAATGGATTTCATCCGCTCCTGCCGCAGTGTCGTGAGCCTGTCCTAGGGCAGTACGTAAATCATGGAGGAAAACGTTTCAGTGTAATCCTCCCCATTATCAGAGTTAAAATTGACTGATTTCTTTTCTTGTTGGGTTTGATATTTGTGGAGCTGAGGGTTATAATTTGATGAGGAGGAGTGGTTTGCCAAAGTTTCGCCAAGTTTGTTTGCAATTTCAGATTTATTTGTTAGAAGGGAGTCACCATCTTTCAGGTGGTGAACTCCTGATTTTGACCCTTTGCCCTTGATCTTTTGAATCATGTTCCACACCTTGGACATGGGTGTGCGGGAGTTGATTTTGGACACATATTTCCTCCATGAGCGCTTAGTTTGTTTGAAGGTACGTTTTGCCCTGGCATTTGTCATTTTAACAGCATTCAGGTTATGCACTCTAGGATGTTGTCGGAAATATTTTTCCGCCTTCTTCCTATTTTTCCTAGCTTGTTTGTAGTTTGTATCAAACCATGGTTTGCGTATGTGCGGGTTTGCAGAGGACTTAGGAATACTTTTGTCTCCGATGGCATTTAGGACGTCTGAAAATAGTTCCATGGGGTCAGGAACATTACTGAAGTTGTCCGGCTTAAGTTTTTTTGAACATAGGGTTTGGAATAAAGGCCAATTGGCCTTAGTAAAATTCCATCTTGTTGATGGTGGTTCATCCGTGGGGTTGACAGGAGTAAGAATGGTTGGGAAGTGTTCGCTTCCACAAAGGTCGTCATGGACCGACCATTCGAACTCATTTAAAAGATTAGGATCTGTAAGTGATAGATCGAGAGCAGAGTATGATCCAGTGGCAGGATGGAGGTAGGTGTTTGATCCCTCGTTGAAGATACATATTTCATTATTTGAGAGAAACTCTTCAAGTACCTCTCCTTACTATTTGTATCAGTACTCCCCCATAGGGGGTTATGGCCGTTGCAGTCGCCCATGATTATGTAGGCTTCGGGAGTTGATCATAGAAGTTCTGAAGATCTGATAGGCGTACAGTTGAGGTGGGAGGGAGATAGAGGGAACATAGTGTAAACCCTATGTTCAGAGTCATGCGGACAGCAACAGTTTGCAGGTTGGTTTTAAGTGGAACAGGGCTATGGAGGATGCCCTGCCTCACCAGGATAGAAGTGCCTCCTGTAGCTTTTACACCGGGAGGAGAAAAGGAGTGGTAGGAACTGTACCGACAGATGTCAAATTTATCGGTCCTTTTTTAGGTAGGTTTCTTGAAGACAAAACGCGGATGGTTTGAAGTCTTGAATCAATAACTGTAATTCATTATAATTATTCTTAAGTCCTCTGCAATTCCATTGGATCATGTTTTGTGGATTCATGGTGCTTCCACTGGTGACATGTCACGTGAACGTGAGAAAGCGTTTGATGAACTCCTATTTGTGTCTGGTGGAGTTGGAGTTACCTCCATATCCAGAGGGCCAAAGGAGTTATGGACCTCGATGGGGACCTCTGAGGGAGAGGTGGCCTTTGGTTTTGTGTTTGGCACTTGTTCGAGTTGTTTTAGTCTCTCTAGCCTCTTTCTTTCCCTTTTTCTGCGCGCAGTTTCTGTTTCTGGTTTTGGCATTTGTTCTAGTGTTTGTGATTCAGAAGTTTTGACTTTTGGCGTTGGAGATGGAGTGGCTGAATAGGTTGAGTTGTGTTGAGTTCAGTTGGCTGAGAAGACGTGATCCATGTCAGGTCGGTCTGACATGAGATGGTTGCAGTAGTGATGGTAGGACGGGAGACAGCAGAAGAGTAGGTGATGGTTGAAGGGGCTGCAGTTAGACTTGCAACCCTCTTCTTTGCGTCGTGAAACGAGATATTTTCTTTGTGCTTGATCTTTAGTATTTCGGATTCGTGTTGCCATACTGGGAAGAACTTGGATGAGGCCATATGGTTACCACCGCAGTTTGTGCACTTCACTTCCTTAGTACAGTCGTTGCCTTCATGCTTGTCACCACAGCGGTAACAAACAGCAGAGGAACGACAGGACTTGGATCCATGTCCAAACTTTTGGCAGTTTTAGCACCGGAGTGGATTGGAGACATACACCTCCACACCAATGCTACAATAACCAGCTCTAATCGAGTCAGGAATGTTTGCTCGCGCGTACGTGAAGAGATAGGTGTTCGTTGGTTGAACAACACCGTCCTTTTTGAAGGTGAATCGTTTTACGGCTGTGACGGATTGCTGAGAGAGTTCCTTGACAATTTGTTCTTCAGTCATGTCAGACAGGCATCGAGCTCTGTCCCATACAATGCCTCTACACGAGTTAAGTGTTTTGTGTGCTGAGACAGCGACCTTGATATTGACGAATTCTTGTATTTTGAGGAGATTCAAGGATTGTTGTTTCGGAGGGGCATACTCTCGTCAGACGAGGAGTTGTCAGTGTCCATGTGTCTTCGTTTTGAACCGGGGTATTGGGAAGCCATGTCGTTAGTAATGTGGTTTGGCATCCCCTCTCCCCACCCACCGTGGAGTGTCAACAAGGATGATCTTATATTGCAGCGGATCTCCAAGCTGCAAAGACCAGGGATAAGGGGATGTTATACTCCAGTGAATTTGACATGAAATGCTGTAGCTGCCTACCAGATTAAAGGTCAGGATGGTTCTGTCCATGACAATCAATTGGAGACGTACTGAAATCGGAGGTCAGCATCACCAGATTGGCCCATGAGCCACCGCCTTCTGTGCATGGGTCTGCGAGGCTAATTTGTTTCGTAGAATATTTGTTAACATTTTGGACTTGTCCAAAAGTGTTATGTAATACCACGTTTTGTATAGACATTCCATGCACAGGGCAAGGCGTGACCAGCCGATTGGTAGAATCGGGCCTATTCTACCACCCGTCTAGGCAAAGTTAGGGTCGAAGTGGTGTGTTGGATAAGTGAACGCTAATATTATGAAATGGTAATATGACATTGATAATAATACCATGGAATATATGAACCATCAACATATAGATTTAAATAATGGTTTTGTTCCACTTTCATTTGAATGCTGTTCCAAGTTCCATGCATGCCTGCATGCTGTTCATTGTTATTTATGGTGGGGTTGTTTTTCATGAAAACAAAACAATGATTTCCTTCACTTTGGAAATCTCTGCTGACAAAACATCTTTGGTATTGACTTTCATGATGTACTGAATAAATTTACCAAATAAGCTAGATATACTTTCAGACTTTATATAACCTTGATGAAGTTTATTTGAGATAAAGTCATCAGGGTTGTTTCTTATGTTTGGTTACACAGTTTACACCACCATAGATTTGATATGTTTAAAGTATTTGGTACTCGTTCATTTGTTTCCCGTTCTTCGTTTAAATTCAAGCATGGCTGACCACTAAACTGAAGATGGTATCCTGATATATCAAGTAAGTGATCTTTTTAAAAATGTATCTGACATGTATTGGTAAATAAATGTTTATTTTATGAATAAATTCCAATTTAACCAGTATATTTATGTGTTATTTAATAATGTTTCCTTCATCTCTTTCGAAAATGTGTTGTTCAAACCAAGTTTCGTATTAAGCTAAATCTTATGATAAATATTTCAGCTTCTCTCAGTTCTGAACAAGATCCATGTGACATTATCGGACAAGACCAAGGACCAGCTGCTGGACAGTTATGCAGCCCACTGTGAAGATAACATCATACAGGCAGTTTCTTCAGGTTATCTTGATATTGACAATTAATTTCAGTGGAGGTACTTGTAGAATCAAGCAGTAAGCCAGTAAATCCTTCCCAAAGGTCTAGATGCCATGGCATAAAGATTTTGTGAAACACATGTTCATGTTCAAATAATCTGTGTAATACAATATGTACATTGTGAATGTATAACTTCTAAGGTGACCAGTTGTGCAACAACTGTTATAAATATCTGTACTGTCATGCGTTATAGGATATAATAATAATCAGGAATGAAAAGTTTGGGTTTGCTTCAAGAAAAATTGTGTGTTTAAACTGATATGTAATTTACTTGTACAGGTTTGGATGGGAAGCTAAATGGTGACAATCTAGATCTGAGAGTAACAACGAACGATGTTCGAATGACAAACAAGAGTAAAGACTATCATTTCTTTGCTTCCGACTTTGTTGCGGACAGGATTGATACTTCACGCAAGCTCCTCAGAAGGAAATGGAATCAGTGGGTGCAGATGATTTCCTGCCAACTTGTGAAGAAATCAGAAACTATAAAGAAAATTTAAAGATCTAACTGGCAAGGAAATTGGTAGAGCATGTTAGTTCATTCAGCTGGATGAAAAGCCTCATTCCAACACATGTACCACATGGTAGACAAGTCGAGATGTCAAAGGCTTCATCCATTTTCTTGTTGCCAATTATTTTGAAAAATGAGGCATCATACTCGGACTGTATCGACATAATGGATGCCTACGTCAAACACATCAACCAGTGGTATGCCAAAGCAGGCAGAGGTCAATGTTTCACGTTTCTTAAAGATTTGGTAAATCATTGCATCTATGCATATATATATATATATATATATAGAACAGTAACATTTGTGGGATTATGTAAATCATTGTCAATACAGCTATGAAATATTACCTAATGTTTGTATTCATTATCATAAGCTTACATATAAGAGTTTGTCGTTGTTGCACGGTTTTCCTTTGATATGTATCTAAACAATAATAATTCATTTTAGGCTCAGATCTTGAAACACTTCGAATTCCGGTTGGTGGCGACCAACTGACCAAGGAGCAAAAGCCTTGAGGGAAGGGACACATACTGTGCAGTCAGGATTTGATCAGCTTGAGCCAGTCATTGTGGAAATGTTCCACACCCTTCAAGATTTCCTTGAGGTATGGCTGATATTGTCAAAAGTATGTAGCCCTTATTCTTAAGTAGCCAAAAGTTATGGGGGTTAGTGGGAATCAAATGCAAAAAAAACTTCCAGATACTTGTGAATTGAGCCTAGAAGGTTCTTGAATGTGCTTAAATTCTAAAGTAACATCTCGAACAATGTCGACTATGCCAAATGAGTGTAAGTGCCTTATATGTATCAAGCCAACTTTTCGATGACTTATGAATACACATTTACAAAGTGATTAAATGGATCATATATTTGGGATTGAATTTGCCTTGTAAAGTACAGATTCTGGTGCTTTTGTTGGCTGACTTTGTGTGCTGGCGATTAGGTGCCTTACTCTGAGGGTCCGGGTTCGAATCCCGGATGGCACTCAGCCACACATTAGTACTACAATCTGTACTTTATTACACAAAGTGTAATAGCAGATATAACATATGTTACAATGACTTTCATGAAAGTTTCTTTGGAAATATTTGCAGAAATTATGAAAGTTTCTCAAGCTGGACAAGGGAATGGACAAGGGCACGCTTGGACATTTGAAATTAGTCATTCAACGATCAAATGTTAATGGGAAAGTCAAAGTGCGGTTTAAAGGTCACATGCAACGTAAAACACAACTTTGCAGATTCTGATACCTTTCGGTATGGACATACCGAAACAAATCGTCAAAAATGCAAATTCAACTTATAAAGTTGAAAAATAACGCGATGAAAAAAACCCCGCGCAAATCGGAGTTCAAACGTTTCACTAATTTTCCCCAGACTTTTCTGGGGAAAACGGGTTTCAACAGCTGGGCTGCGCTCATAGCACGTGCGCAAGTAAATAGGTTCGCGCAGCTTGGAAGCGGGTTGTCGGGTGAATACTCGGTGAAGGCTTTGGTGTGAGCTATTTTCCTAATGTTTTGTTGATATCTCACAGGCGCGAGCTTTTTATATGTTATGACAGTAAATTAACTGTTTATATAATTTCATTTGTCTATTTCACCACACGTTCTCCTTACCGAGACACTTTCTCAGATCGATACTTAAAAGCAATGTCATTATTTAGCGTTGACAGAATTTCTAACTGTGATATAGATATGTCGTTGTCACAGACAAAACTCAATGTCTTGTTTTATTGACACCTGTGTGTCTGCCTGCCTGTCTGCTAATGACAGTATTCAATACACAGCTGCTATCACTGACCACATGCAATTTGAACTTAACACCAATCAGGCTATACACCATAAACAAAATGCATTGATTTATGGCCCGAGTTCCTACTGGCAGACAGGGCCACAACAAAGCAGCGGATATGCAAAAGGAAAATCAGGTCCTGGTGTTAAAAAGTCTGATAAAAGGTCTTGGTGCCAAAAAGACAGAGAGGTCAATTGTTAAGATATCTAAAGTTGCTCCAGTTGTTGAAAGCATCAATGATAACGTCTCAATGACAAAATCTGCTGACTATCACACAAGTCACAGACAGAGATCATCTTCGGATGACATCAAGGAGATACTGTCTGTCCTGCAGGCCAGTAACCCATGGAAAGTTACTCCTGGTAGGCAACTGAAAGGTTTCCAAGGAATTAGCCAGTCCCCATTTTCCTTCAACGTGCAACAGATGAGAAACAGCATCCAGACTAATGTGGACCATCTGAAAAGGGGGAGTTGTCTTTCTGCCTGATGATGATGAAGTGGAGGAAAACTGACTGTAAATAAGGGAATGAAACTTAGACACTATCACAGTTCCCACCATATTCTTAGATTCCCTGTGAACAGGTTTACTCAAACTTGTAGTTTGTGAAAGTAAAGCCACTTAATGATCCAAGTGACTGTGCCAGTGAAATCAAGCTTTACTTTATTTGTGTGTAACATTAGAACCTTAAATATTCTTTGTGCATACAGTTTTTAGTGATATACAGGGCAAGGACTGTACTGTGTTATCACATTGGTCAGGATTAAAGGACAGGTGACAATATTTGTATGATTAACGTTTTCAATGTTGTTATTTCAATGTAAATAGTTATGATAACAGAAAAGCATGACAACCATAATAAGTAACGATAATAAGTATAAAAATTTTAATTCTTGGACTTTGAGACAATCTCCATCATTCATTATGATCATGTGACATGTACATATGTTAAGAGAAAACAATTGATACTACTGTGGGTTGACATGTAATTTGTCATGAAAGTAATTGCAACCCCATATTTATATATATATATATCATAAAACCGGTAAAGTGTAAGGCACAAGATTAGCTTTTTTGCACAGTGTCCTTATATAACCTCACCTAAAAGGATCTTAGATTGGGAAAATTTTCAATGTGATATACAAATCTGGTTGCAATTACTTTCATGCAAAACTATAGTATTGAAATATTCATCGATCGTTTGACAGAGCATTTTGATGGAAATATATATTTTCTAGTCCCTGACATTTGTTGAAACACTTATTTGTAATATGATTGGTTCTGTATATAGTAAGTTTGATAAGCCTATACCACAAAATAATGACAATGATGGGCTGAAGATAACTATATTTAAGTTAGAACAAATTCAGCGATAGTTATTCATGCTGGGTCCTATGGACTTTAAGCCACCGAGTCCTCTATCTCAGATCCTGAGTCACTTCCCATTATGTCTAGGCAATTATTCAGTAAATAAGTGTTCCATTGGATGCCTGACGAAGTATAATAATGCACCCTTCTAAATTTAGTTGCGAACAATACTTGGAACTCACAGGTAGATTCATCACTGTCAGCATGGTTAGTGTAAGCAGCCCCTTTTTACAGAATCCGCAGGTACCTCTACATTACATTTCTGAGGCCATACCCGTTTTGTGTAGTAGAACACCCAGTCAAGTTATATAATAACAAATTTCACATTCCTGTCTTAGTTGTCCTGCAGTTAATGCAGCAATCAGCTGGGTTATCCGAAAACATGACTGAATCGAAACCAAAATATGAAACAAGCTGTAACCTCAAGCAAGTGGTCCTGTTTGTGCAGTACTTGATCATTGCCTCTGACATATCCTCACGATTCTTTGCAATGTCATTCTTGTTGTAAAATAGTAGGGCACTGGACTTTTTGCCGTCTCGTTCTGCCCGACCTATTTCCTGGAAATACTTTACAAGGGTTGTAGGGGGTTGAAAATGGATTACACGTCGTATGCTAGGTGCATTCAGACCCATGCCTAAGGCAACAGTGGCCAGCACCAAGCTAATTTTTGGTTTGTATTTCCTCAGTTCAGACACAATGTGTGTTTTCATTTCATCTGTGTATACCTTGTGGTACTGAGCAAAAATTCGGTTTTCTGGAATTGGTGATTCTTTAGGAATGTATGCCTTTTCCTTTAGATGTCTTGCTACGTACTGATAGCAATATCCCAGTTCCTCATCATTGTTGATGTAAACAACTGTAAAGGGGAACTCAGCCAGCCGATCGCACAGGTCTTCAGCAAGTGGTCGAATTAGGTTGTCTAATTTTTCTTGTTTCCTGATATTTGGCAGACGAGTTTGAATCTGAAAAAATAGGTTCAGATATAACAACTATCACAATCTTACTTGTAATAGTCTAAACTTTGTATAACTTATCTTTCACATAATACGTGGTTGCGAACATTCAGGTGAATCATGTTTCATCAAAGCAAGTAATGTTCAGATAAAAACTAATAATATGGTTGGATATTTCTTCCAAAACATACATTATGTTCATGCTTATATTAAAATGACATACAGAAATAATGCATGTCCTACATACATTGTATTAATGTTGGGACTGGTAAATTTCCTTCTATACATCAACCACTGCCAAGAATTCACTGCCAGTCAAAAGTGCTCATACTGATATAGAATGGATACAAAAGATGTTTAGATAATTCATTTGGAATAACGATGTAGTTAAATCAGTGAGTGAGTTTAATTTTATGCTATGTTTAGCACTATTTCAGCAAAATCACTGCAGGGACACCAGAAATTGGCTTCACACACTGTACCCATGTTGGGAATCGAACCTGGGTGTTCAGCATGAGTAGCGAATGCTTTAACACTAGGCTACCCCACCACCCCAATGTACTTTAGCATGTAAAATATTTTTTACATGCTAACTCAGTATCAAGTGATGGTTTGTATTTCGACCATGCTCAACATACAATTCTTCCTGATCGATACAAGCCTGAATTTTTCCTGTTCATGCTCACCATTCGGATATCATGTGCACTTCATCAACAACAACAGCACAGACTTTTTCTTGGAAAAGTGGAGATCTGAGTAGACGTCCAACTGTCTTGTTGTTAAGAAGAGTCTCTGGATGAGCATAGATGATGTTGAATTGTCCCTGCTGCAGTTCTTTCATCTTGACATAAGTTGGTGCATGAATGTCATTTTCAGTTGCATCAACTTCGTCTTGATCATTGTCCTCCTCTTCTTCTAGCGTCTCCACATCAATCTGGCGTGAGATCATCTTGTATGTCTTGCCAGCAGTATCTGTGAATACAGCATCATCATGTCAATACTTAGGAGTAAAATGGCTTGGTTACTTCATGTTATTACTTGTATATATGTTGAAGTATTTAGCAGACAAACACTAACTACGTACATACAGTTAAAAGCCAGATTTGACTCACATACATGTTATTTATACATTGCATGGTGATTCCAAATTCTTGCTTCATTCTTTTCCAAATTGATATGAAAGCAGCTTCAGTTTCCAGTTCAACAATATATTTTAGATAGTTTTCTAACAAATAAAATTCATTACTCTGAATAGCTGACAGTGCCAAAGTTGACACTGGAAAAGTACATGTTTAAGTATATGTGTTAGATCTTTTAACATGTTTAAGGTCATTCTCACCTTATAAATGCACAAAGAAGCTGATGTGCAAATAGTTCAGATTATTTCCCATATTGGTGCAAGTAATAGTACAAGTTGACTAAAGACTGAGATGATGAAAAGTTGTCATTTTATATTGACTTAACATGGGGTTCTCTTTTTACTAAACCTTTAAAGACATACTGTAGATCAATGTTAACTTAAATGTTAATAAGATTCTTAATGTGTCTAAATATTTGTAGCCATGGCTCATTGTCTTCTACCTCATCTTAAAGGGTAGGAGTACATAATTGTTTGAGAAACTCTAGTAAATTGCATATTACAGATATCATTTTTTTTGGTTTGAGGTCTTATTCATCTGAATTAACAAAACTTCCATGGTGCTAGAATAGATCTATACTCGGTATGGATGAGAAAGTGTTTATTATGAAAACATGCGAAGTCTATGCACAGTCATCAGGTGGAGGTAACAGTCTGAATTGTAATTTACCATCTAAATAAAATAAAAAAAACGCGTACCTTGTGAATTAAGGAAACAGGCTTTGATCCCTCGGTCACACAATGACATGACCTGGTCCTGCATCAAGGAATTAAGTGGACACACAACGATGACCATCCCTGGAACTGACAGGTCCTTTTGCAGCAGCCATGGTAAAAGTTGAAATACAGCACTTTTGCCATATCCCGTAGGCAAAACAGCTATACAGTCATTCCCTTCGTAAAGATGTCTCAATGTTGAAAGCTGCTGATCCTTTAGCTCAAAGTTAATGTTTAATTGGTGCTTTGCATTATTGAGCGAAGTCTCAAAGTTTGGCGGTGTAGCCATGCTTCGAATGCGTTAACAATGTCATACGCTAATTAATTTATATTACATCCCAAAAATCACTGTAAGTAGGTTTCTTATGCCGTTAACAAATATACGTCACTAAATAATTTTATAATCACTGAAATAATAATGAAAACCGATAAGCGCAAAGAAACTTTTTGACGCCTTTTCACATGTTACTACGCGCGATTTGATTGGTTTTCCACGATTCTTGGCAAACATGGCGTACGATAGGGGTACGAGCCTTCTTGTAGGTCACGGAAAGAGGCGAGTAGTTACGAATGGCAACCAGTTTGTGAGAACCCGTCGGACGCGAACCAGCGACCTTCGGATTGTTAGATCGACAGCTAACCGACTGAGCTACGTCCACACTGTTGCACAATGTGCAAATGTATCAAGTCATTCCTGTGACGTCACGGAAGTGAACGGAAAGAATCGAATAGGTCACGGACAATTACGAATGCCACGGGTAGACTTGGTGTCTCGTGATTTTATTCTCCGGACAATTGCCAAATGGATCCGATGCCATTTGGCACACTCGTCCCATTCCGTAATCTACAAATTAACGTGTGGCATGGAATGAGCCGATATGCCTCAAACTGAAAAGGGTTGTTGACGTCGGGCGTCAGACGTAGATTTCACGGTGCATGCTAGCCGAGAGCCGCGATGCGGTCCTATACAGTCAAGACATGACCCTGCATCACGGCCGAGAACACCACCTTCATAAATCCTATTCAGATTCTAGTGGCCGATTTCCCCTCGTATTTTCTTGAGATTTTTTAAATATATTTCCTGTGGGTTTTTGACTGAAAAGTCGATATCGATGTACTCCCAGATAATTTCCCTATACATACACGTAACTGTCATATTTTGGTGATCATACATTTAGATATTAATGGGCCTGAAACCCGTTGAGTTCTTGTTTCAACGATAGCGAGCTGACATTTTATCATGTTCTGCGCATGCGCCAAATTTCTATAGTCCGTATCGGAGGACGTTCTTCATTAGCGGTAGGCAATACTCTCTCTCGCCTCCCGTTTCGCGCGCTCGTGATTTGGGTGAATCACACTTAATGTATATTATATTTATCTGCTTTTTGTCATAATTTACAGATTTTCCTTGCAGAGAGGATTCCATTCATATCTCTACAAAAAGATATGTCCATGGGATCTAGCAGATTTATTAATGTACAACGTATCGCACAGGACACTTAAGGGGACACGATCTTGTCACTTTCACTCTCCGGGACCACGATTTTTCCAGTTCAACGCCTGGCCGAGAATTTCAAGTATTCTCAAAATTTTCGTTTCTGTGTTTTTAAAAAAACGATCCAAGCAGACTTTAGTTTAAGATTAGAATGTTATTAGTTATTACAGTCATAAATTACATTTCGCTGGACAATATGAATGTTTAAAGTTAATCTATTGTAAATTATTGTTAAACATGCGGGGTAGACATAGCTGTACAATATAGTATGGTTATGTAAAACAAGGTCACAAATTTGTCGTATTCACAGACTGTGTATGAGATATATTTTTCTGAATGAAATAGATTTCAGGAGGTGTGTTTTAGCTCGGTAGTATTATGGAGATAATGTTTTGAGTAGACGTAATGTTTGTTGCAAGGTATATCAAATTCAGACGCCATTACATTTTTCTTTAAATCCAAAAATGAGGAGATTCTATTCTACATTTAGTTTAGTACCGGATCTATTTTCTATCTATTTTACAAGGTTGTGGCTCAATAGTTTTACCTGTGTACATTCAAATAACAAATGAATGACATTTTCAGTTTCAGCATTGCAGAAAGAATACAGAGAATATGCTACAATTTTATATTGGAACATGTTTTTATCTGTTTCAGCATTCTATGAACAGTATGTTGTTGGAATTATCTTAACTTTGTCTTATACGTTGTTCTTGACGGTAAATTTCGATATTTCTGTATAAATATCATTTCCCCATTGTTATTGATTATGTTTTCCTTTAAGGCAATATCCTTTACACTGCAGAATAGATTAATCTGCATACTTTTCCCTCCATGTATAAAGTTCTGAGGTTACATGGATCGAATGGTTCTTCCAATATGCTATCCAATGGTACAAGATCTGTATGTTCTCAAAGAAAAATACTTTACAGGATATATTAGAACAACAGAATGTTTCACTTTAGGAAAGTTATTAATATATTTTTAAATGTATATACACAGATATTTATTAGGAATTATCCTGGTTATGAAATTTGTATTATATCTATTTATTGACAAAGGGGTTTAATGATTCACTAGGTGTACGTTTGTCACAAACGTTTAACGATATACTCGTTTTGTTCTTATCCCCGGCATATAATGTGGGGATATAGTCAACGCCGTATTCATTTTGTTTCCGGAGCATAACTCAAGAACCGTTCATTATTTTTCAACAAAACTTGGTAGATATATCAAACAGAACCTTAAGTGGTGCCTTTTGCTATTTGCAGAATTTTGTGATTTATTATTTTCTAGGTTTCTATGGAAACGATTCGTACTTCATTTCATTTCCGGAGCACAACTTGAAAAGCATTCAATATCTTTCAAAAGAACTTGGCAGATATATTAGGCAAATTTTGAAATGGTGCCTTTTGCCATTTACCCTTTTTGTCATTTATGTTACTCATGATTTCCAAGGAAACGATTTGGACTTAGTCTTAAAAAAAAATATAGCTGGACTTTAAGTAACTGTCTAATGATTTGTTCTTTCAAATATGTGGGGGCCGGGGGATATGTCATATTCTGATGACTCTTGCTTATAATATACACGACGTAATCACTATATATATATTGCCAATAATCCCATGACATGATATTAAACTGTTCACTTTATTTCTGCAAGAACTGTACCAAAAAAAACGTAAAAAATACCCATGACATGTCCTCCTTTTGACCAATCGCAAGCATCCCTCTGACAGTTCCGTACCAAAAGGGTATTTTTAAGTTCACCTTTCTTCGTATAATTATGAAGAAAATAGCCACATGATAATGAACAATCAGGAGCCAGATCCGGGCATAATATTCGAGCATAAATATTACATTTGATTTTCGCAAAACAGGTGCTCGCGTTGTACACAGTAAGATACATAGTAAACTATCCAATTGTTTATCTATCCAGGACATTATTCAAATGGTGAGCGAGTGAGTTGAGATTATAGTCACACCGGCAATATTTTAGCCATATCGTGACTAAAACAATTCATTTATCACTCCCTCCATTTCTGGTGTCCCTCGCCGCGATATTGCTGGAATATTGCTAAAAGTGGCGTAAAACAATACACACTCACTTCATCTCCATCAGATTACCTGGAACGGAAATTAGGTGAGATGTATACTAAACAACATACAGATGTCATCTTTCTCCGGCGTTGCCAAATATGTACAACATGCAACTAATGTGGTGTCGTATTTTCAGTAATTTCATTACATTTGAAAATAAGGCTCGATCTCTGTTAATAATGATGAAACGTTAGTCAAAATACATCTCCAAAATCAAGAGAGTTTGGGAATCTAAGAACTAATTTCTAGGTAGATAGCACCATCCATTTAGCTATTACCTCCTTTCTCATGAGCGATATCCTAATTCATTATAATTTGTGATACTACCAAAACGTATCCGGTTACAATGTGGATTTTGTATTGAAACAGATTGGCTCATCGTGTATATGTTTGTGTGTGTGTGCGCGTGCGTGCGCTCTCGTGCGTGCGTGCGTGCGTGTGTCCTCTCTGTTGTCGCTTGACGTCAGAGGAAAATCAACTTTCGTCAACAAGCCATTTTTCACATATAACGTAGAAAGTTATACATAAGCATACAAATCAATTTCATATATTGTTATGTCGTTCAGATATCACGAAGTATTTTATTCTCACAAAGTTTCATTAAAGATTCCAAATAAAGAAATCATTACGTTGTAAACGGAGACATTTACTGCTTTTCAACGCATAATAAAATTGCGGACAACCTTTAACAAAGTCTACTTTCCAAATCTCCTGTGTATTTGTGCTTCAAATTTACATCATCGAAATATCGGATAAGAAATTCAATACTCTACATATCTGTGTTATAGCCGTAGCTAGAAGCAGTGCATCACTAACGCAATTCTCGCTCAACGTTCATTTTTCAGAACTTCAGAGAAAATAAACCTCTGCTTCCAGGGGGTTAAGTCTTCTGTGCACTGCGTTGTATGTTAATAAATCTGCTAGATCCCATGGACATATCTTTTTGTAGAGATATGAATGGAATCCTCTCTGCAAGGAAAATCTGTAAATTATGACAAAAAGCAGATAAATATAATATACATTAAGTGTGATTCACCCAAATCACGAGCGCGCGAAACTGGAGGCGAGAGAGAGTATTGCCTACCGCTAATGAAGAACGTCCTCCGATACGGACTATAGAAATTTGGCGCATGCGCAGAACATGATAAAATGTCAGCTCGCTATCGTTGAAACAAGAACTCAGCGGGTTTCAGGCCCATTAATATCTAAATGTATGGTCACCAAAATATGACAGTTACGTGTATGTATAGGGAAATTATCTGGGAGTACATCGATATCGACTTTTCAGTCAAAAACCCACAGGAAATATATTTAAAAAATCTCAAGAAAATACGAGGGGAAATCGGCCACTAGAATCTGAATAGGATTTATGAAGGTGGTGTTCTCGGCCGTGATGCAGGGTCATGTCTTGACTGTATAGGACCGCATCGCGGCTCTCGGCTAGGTGCATGCATGAATGACGCGCTTTTATATAAATCGGTGATTTTGTGACAGAAAAGTGATGTAGGGAACACTGTAAGGATAATGTGGATCGCACTAAGGAACGAGGGAGACATGAGCATGTGTAGTGACAGCACTCGGGTGAATTAGCCTTCGAATCATACATTACAAAATATATGTTGCGTGTGAAAGAGGCTTGAGTGCAAATTCCAGACCAATTTCCATAAGCCCAAAATTTCTGCATTAACCCATTT